TCGAAACACACAATGGCAGACCGAGAGAGACCCCAGTCGAGAAGCAACGGAGACATGAGCAGTCAGTGAGAAGCACGAGCCTATCTGCAAGACTATCCTCGAATCCACCACGCCTACCTCTCTCGAGCCTCCGTCCTCAGAATCGCCTCTCTTTTTTTTTTTTTTTTTTTTTCTCTCTCTCTCTCTCTCTCCCTCTCCCTCTCTCTCTTCCCAACCGAACTGGCGAAGTGTCTTCACCCGCTCCCTCCGTGCTCGGTCCAAAACCATCCCCGCTTCACCCCTTCATGTCGGAGCTGACGCTCACGTCTGACTCGTGGAGCAGGGGCCGTGTGGTGAGAGGAGGGCGCGGAGCCCGCCCGCCTGCGAACGAATATGCCCTGCGGAACGGAAGCGCGCGAGAATCTGAGCTGCATCGAGGGTCGCAGGGGACGCCCCCCGACCTGAGGAGCCCACTGCTCCGAGAGGGGGGAGAGGCCGTGAGCAGGTGGTGGGTGAACCCAGATGGTCTGGTACCGGAAATTTTCGGTAGCGATTTCGACGCACCCCGAATTTCGGTAGCGACCGGATCTTCGTTTGAGGGCGTTGAAATAGCGGATTTCAGAACGCTCTGATACCGGTATTGGGCGCTACATTTCGGTATTTCGGTAGCGACCGATCTCTGCGGAGCGCTACCGGAAATTTTCGGTAGCGGACCATCAGGGAAGCCTCACGGCCCTCTCGCGGGTTTCCTGCCTGCACAGTGGAACGTGGCTGATCTGGGCGCCCCTCTGCGTCTGCTGGGTGCACCGCGACAGCGGCAAGGCTCGAAGGATTGCAAAAAAAACCAGGATTGCACGAAAAAACCCTTGCTGTGAATCGCGAAGGTGTGTGGCCACGCACTTGAACGAAGGATTGCAAAAAAACCCTTGGTCGAAGAATTGCAAAAAAACCCTTGGTTTTTTTTTGCAATCCTTGGTTATTTTTTTGCAATCCTTGCTGTGAATCGCGAAGGCGTGTGGCCACGCGTCGCAGACGGACGCTCGAAGGCTCCCTATCTGCCCCCCATGGTATCTGATCTGATTTATTCACCATCCCCATCACCAGCGCCATCATCATCATCATCATCATCATCATCATCATCATCATCATCATCATCATCATCATCATCATCATCATCCTCACCATTACCAGCGCCATCATCATCATCATCACCATCATCATCATAACCATCATCATCATCGTCATCATCAGCATCATCGTCATCGGCATCATCGCCATCGTCATAGTCGTCGCCATCGTCATAGTCATCGCCATCGTCACCCATCGTCGTCATCATCATCGCCATTATCATAAACGTCGTCGTCGTCATCAGTCTCAGTATCGGCGTCATCGTCTTCGCAAAGGTCGTCGTCGTCATCATCATCATCATCATCAGCAGCATCACCATCGTCGTCATCATCATCATCATTATCATCATCATCATCATCGTCATCATCATCATCATCACCATCATCATCATCATTCTGAACATCATCAGTATCATCATCAAGACCATGGTCGTCGTCGTCGTCATCACCAGTTTCCTCCTCCTCCTCCTCGTCGTCCTTTCCTTTGCCTTATCAATGACTCCTCCCTGGCGCACCCCGAGGCCGGCCGAACGGGCGGGCAGGGCGTCTCGCCTGAGGCTTCCTCACCATTCGTGACCCTGAAGCTTAAAACTTGGCAACAGTTTGGCAGATGGACAAGGTGTCGCCTTCAAAATGTGGCTATTGCCTATGCGCAGCGCGCACTCGTTTTGAACCAATGCAAGAGTTTCGCGGATTGAGGGCGGGTCGTTTTCACAATGTTGTTGCCGCTTCGGCGCCGCGCACATTCGTTTAACACATTTGCAAGAGCTTCATGGATGGAGGGCGAGCGGTTTCAAAATGTGGCTCTCGCATTCGCGCCGCGCACATTCGTTTTAAATATTCGCAAAGATTTCACGGATTGGGGGCGGGTCGTTTTCAAACTGTGGTTCTCGCCTCAGAGCCGCGCACACTCGTTTAAAACAATTCCCCGATCAGAGCTTGCCACTATAGGGGTCCTAGCGGATTCATATGGTTAGGTCAGGTTTGTCGCCGATTTTCGCTGCACGCCCTGCTGCCCGGGTGCCGGGGGCTGCCCGGGGCCCGGGTGCCCAGGGGGTGCCCGGGGGTGCACGGGTGCCCAGGTGCCCCGGTGCCCGGGTGCCCGGGAGTGCCCGGGGGTGCCCTATAGCCCTATAGCCCTAAGCCCTATAGCCCTATAGCCCAATAGCCCAATAGCCCTATAGCCCTACAACTCTATAGCCCTCAATAGCCCCCTAGCCCTATAGCCCTGATTGGGTTTTTTCTCCGGTATCACTGTACTTCACGGATTGAGGGCGGTTCCTCTTCGAAATGTAGCGCTCGCCTTTGCGCCGCACGCGCTCGTCTCAAATCTTTGCAAGAGTCTCACGGGTTCCCGTGGTCAACGTTCCAGAAATACAGTTACATTGGTTCGCGGTGTTGAAGTCCCAGGGATGGTGTTTTGGCATGGCTAAGGATCGTCAAGGCGAAGCAGTCAGGTTGACTCGTGGCGTTGAAGTCCTAAGAACGGTGTTCTGGCAAGCTTGAGGGCTGTCACACGGCTGTCTCCAAACGGGGCACTTCCATCAATGGAAGAGAACCCTTGTAGTGGCCTGTGCAGTGGACGCTTTGAGGGAGGGTGTGTGTCCAACATCGTTGATGGCTCTTGGGTTTACGCTGGTCTTCCTCTTCCTCATTCTCATTATAATCATAAGCATCGTCAACACCATCACCACCACCAACACCATCATCACCATCACCATCAGCATTAGCATCAGCATCAGCATCATCAAAATCATCATCAGCTTCACCCTCATCATAATCAACATTAGCCCCAACCTCATCATCACCAAGCTCGCCCTCACTCTCACTCTCGTCAGCATCCTGATTCACCATCAACAACAATAATCACTTTCAACCTGATCGCTCTTACCTGCCCGCGTGACATCCAACACGTATAGCCCAAACCCTCTTCGTCTTCGATCGTACCCCCCTGGGGGTATATCTTCCTTACGTGCCGCGTGTAATAAATGCAGCCCCTTAAATAATGGAAGCGAGGACGGACGGAAGGGTGAGGGAGAAAAATTGAGCTTGGGCTTGGCAGGAGTGCGGCTAGGAGCAGAAAGCACGTGGCAGAACCAGACGGGCTGATGGGGCGGGTAAACCCTAACGGGCGGGTCGGGAAGGCTGGTCCAAGCGGCCAGGTCGAGCAGGCGGGTTGCTGAAGCGTGAATGCTGCAAGAATCGCGAGGCGGTCTCGAGCGATAGCGCGATTCCAATGTGAATCGCAAGAAGAAACCATCGCGAGAGCGCGATTCCTGACTGTCGAGGGCGCGGCGTCTCAATCAATTGCGAGGAGGTCCCACGCGAGAACGCGATTTCTGCACAACTTGTGAGGAAGTCCCGCGCGGGAACTCGATTTCTCAATCAGTTGTGAGGAAATATCGGGCTGGAGCCATTGAAGACTCACTTCCGCCGACTCATTATAATTCATCTCCAGAAACGGTTCTGCGCGCTCTTGCTTCGACGCCAGCTACATTTTCTCTGAAAACGAGGCTCCCGCTCGAGCGTTGGCTTGAGCCTAAATGTGGGCCCTTGGAGGCCCAGCTACGACAACAACGGCTCCTGCTCATACTTCCTCAAATATTACCCCGAGACACCCTGGCCAGAGAGACCCCCGAACTCAGGAACGGCGCTCTCGCTCGAGACGTCCTCGCAGTTCAATTAAGTTGGCGGAGGCCCAGCCACGACGACAAGGGCTCCTGCTCGATAGTTCGTCACGGTTTTCTTCGAGAGCCCCTGGCCAAGAAGACACCCGAACTCAGGAACGGCGCTCGATACTTTCCCGTAATTCAGTCAAGTTGGTGGAGGCCCAGAAATGGCGACAAGGCGCTGTCGCTCGAGACCTCTTCGCACTTCAGTCATTGGCCGACAAGGAAAATATTCCTACCGAAAGGGGTTGCAATCGAAGACGACGTGGGTGGGTATCGAGGGTTGGGGTATACGGAATGCAAGACACGCGTGCCAGTAAGAGCGAACAATATTCAAATGTTTGTTGCTGTTGCTGCTGCTGCTGGTGTTGTTAAACCAAGGACCGACAACACAGTTTGGAGGCCCTCCACTTCCTTTATGAAAGACAAGGTGCAGAACCCAGAATGAACAATGTAATTGAAACACACACAGTGGTCACCAGGAAGGGGATATCAATACATATTAACTATTCTGTAGTAGTGAGGATTCAACATCATCTGCATCAGCATCGGCATCAGCATCAATTTCAGCATCAGCATCAGCAACACCATCCTCATCAACACGGTCGTCGTCGTCGGCGTCGTCGTCACCACCACCATCCTCCTCCTCCTCCTTCCCATTGTCTCCCCTCCCCATCCATATCGTCCCTTTCTCTTCTCCCCCCAACATCATCTCTCGTTCTCTCCGCCTACCGGCTACCCTCCGACCTCCCCTTCGCTGCTCCCTCCTCTCTCCTCCCTCCCGCCCTCACCCTCCCCTGTTTCCCCCCCCCTCCTCCCCCGCCCCTCCCTCCGCCCCCCTCTCGCCCTCACTCCTCCTCCTTCTCCTCCTCCTTCTCCTCCTCCTTCTCCTCATCCTCCTCCTCGTCCCCGCTCCTCGACCTTGCTCGACCCTCCACGCTGCTCCCCCCTCGACCCTGATCGACCCTCCTTCCTCCGCCCTCCCCCCCAGCTTCCTCATACTGCCTCCTCCCGCACCCGCCCTTTTCTCTTTGCCATCCCTTCTCTCCAACCTCCTCCTCATCCTCCTCCTCGCCATCTTGTCTTCTCCTCCTCCTCCTCCTCCTCCTCACTATCTTCTCTCCTCCTCCTTCTCCTCCTCGGCCTCCTCCTCCCCCTCGGCCACCTCCTCCTTCCCCTCCCGCGCGCGCCAGCCGACGACGACGACGACCGGGGCCGCGACGGCATCGCCGGGCGGGGCTGAGGGCCCGGGCCGCTCCTTCGGGACGAAGCCGATGGCGTGGAACTCGAGCAGGAAGTGCAGGTACGGAGACTCCCCCACGATGCCCACCGCGGCGGGTTGGCCCGGCGGGTGCGCCGAGCTTCGGCTGCGCGAAAAAATAGAAAATACCCCCCAAAATGCCACAAAAGGTGAAACAAGACACCCAAAATCGTCCCCAGACAATGTTTCGGCCATCTTTTGCTCATCATTGTTTTTTTTGGGGGGGGGGGACATTTTTCGTCGAAGATCCCCCCCGTCGGGGGACAGGCCCGACACGACCCTCGGGGCGCCCTCCCCGCCAAGGGCCCAGGGCCTCCCTAGGGACGAACAAAAAAAACGTATCCTGGCGACTCGGGCCTCCCTGGGGGGCTCCCAGGGCCCCCCCAGACCAACCTCACGGTGAATCGCCGATCGCCCAGGAACCCAGGGCCCTCCTAGGGGCAAAAAGACGTCTCCTGGCGACTCGGGCCTCCCTGGGAGGCTCCCGAGACCAACCTCACGGTGAATTGCCGATCGCCCAATCGGGCCCCGCTCGGGCCCTGCCCCGGGAGGCGCCCCGCGGCCCGCCACGGCCGCGCCCGCCCCCGGGGGCCTCGGGGCACGGGCCGGCCTCTCGGGAGGTCCGGAGGGCCGGGCTCGGAGGAAGAGGGGCCCTATTCCTCCTCCTCCTCCTCCTCCTCCTCCGCCTCCTCCTCCTCCTCCTCCTCCTCCTCCTCCTCCTCCTCCGGGGCCCCAGGACACACCAAGAAAGACACGCAAGAGTAAAACTGTTCACCAATACTTTCCCCTATTTTTTCTGGGTTTCTGTCTTCCCCCCCAGTTCCCACATTTTCCTACATTTTCTGGGGAGTCGACGGTTCGTGGTGCCTGTGTGCTTCGTTCCCGGGCTCGGATGAAGGGGCCCCAGGACACACCGAGAAAGACACGCAAGCAAAACTGTTCACCAATACTTTCCCCTATTTTTTCTGGGTTTCTGTCTTCCCCCCCAGTTGCCATATTTTCCCCTATTTTCTGGGGAGTCGACGGCGGACACACGCCTAAAAAACACGACTGTCGGCATGCTTCGCAAGAGTTGCTGTTGTGAGATGGGCTGGTGGGGATACGCGAAGCGTAAAGAATTTTCTGGGTTTTTGTCTTCCCCCCCAATTCCCACATTTTCCTACATTTTCTAGGGAGTCGACGAGTCGTTGTGTCTGTGTGCTTCGTTCCCTCCTGATATCGGAGCGGGTCCGGGCAGGGCGGGGGCAGCCGCCCGTATCTGCAGCGGTGTCCTCCTCCGAGGAAGGCGAGGCTCGATGCAGGGGGGGGCCGGTCCACGGGAGAGGCCTTCCGCGAGCAGCCCAACGCCGCGAGAGGCTTCCAAAGTGGCCTCCGAAGTGGCCAGACGGCGTAAGACGGCTCCAAGACGGTTCCACAACGTCCCCACGAGGCCTCCAGAGGCTCCAAAGAGGGCCCCAAACGGCCCAGGAGGGCCCCAAGACGGTTCAAAGAGGCCCCCAAGGCGGTCCAAAAAAACCCTGAGACGGCCCAGGACGTCCACAGGGGGAGGACGGTCGTCCACAGGAGACCTGCCACGAGAGGCCCAGGCCCGAGACCCCAGGGCGTCCGCTGTGTGGTTTGGGCGTGGGGACACCACGCCTTCCACGGCAACACCAGCGAGACCCAAGCAACCCAGGGCACTCTGGAGGCAAGCCGGGTGTTTTGCAGGGGCCCAAGGACACACACTGAACAAATAGGCACAAATAACAGGATTCCCCATCTTTTTTCCCATATGTTCGGGGTTTTCGTCTTCCCCCCGCCACGCACTCCCCATTCAGACCCCCTCACGGCGCGACGTGAATACTCCAGATTTCGTAATAAAAGGGAGGGGGTCTGGTCCCTTCAAGACAAGCCATTTCAGACCTCCCCCGTGGGAGAACCCTCCAAAACATCGTCCCCAGACCCCTCCAGGCCCTCCAAGATAGCTTGGACGAGACCCCCCCCGAAATGAGACCCCCCTCCCTTTATTACAAAATCTGGAGTACAAAAACACCGCTGGAGAGGTATTTGTCAAGTTTTGGCCTTGGGGGGGGGCGTCGAGAAACATATCGGGACGACTCACAAGTCCCGGGCACGGGTCGGAAACTCTGGGACCCTGGTGGGAAATTCACGGCGTCGGGGGCCCGTGGACGCCGCTAGGTGGCCACATGTGAACCCTACCCCCACCCCCCACGATCTCTACGGGAGGGTGGGGGCTCACTCCGCTCGGGAGCTGCCGAACAGAGTGAACCCCCAAGCCCCCGCCCTTAGAAATCGTGGGGGGTGGAGGCAGGGTCCACATGTGGCCACCGAGCCGAGGTGGCGGACAGGATACATCGATGTTTTGGAATCTCGCAACGGTGCGGTGACAGACCGTGCGGTGACCTCGAAATCCCCGGAGACCTCACCGCACGGTCCGTGAACGCACGGCTTTGGGACCTCGGATGCTCCAGTCGCCCGAGACGTCCTCGGAGAACGACCCGAGTCCCAAGACCGTGCGGTGACTCCGACTCCCCACCGACTCACCACACGGAGTGGTCACCATCGGCGGTGGACAAACCTCCCTTTAGTAAACCTCCCCTTAGTGAAAACGGCCAATTCTTTAATCGACGTGTCAGGGTAGGAGGTCTGTCCACCCCCGACACCAGCCCGCTTGGGGGCCCCCGAGATGTGTGACCTTCCCGAGCCTCCGGAGGCCTCTGGAGGCCCCCCCCGTCCAGGGACCTCCGAGCTTCGAGGGGGAAGTCCCCCCATGCGGGGCATGCCTGGCTCGCCACCGCTCGGACGCCCATTCCCAGTGTTGTGGTGTTCCAGCCTCCTTCAGGCCTGACCACCGACCACCAGGAAAAATCTCCAGCACCAGAAAAAAAACACCGAGGCTCGAAGGATTTCACGTGCCGAGCCCTGGGAGACACTCGTCCGACACCGTTTCGACACTTTCCCGGGTGCTCGAAACTATTTCCGGGATGTGGCCCTCAAGTACGATGGGGCCAACATGATCCCAGTGCGTTGTTCGGCTTCGTGCGCTTCTTCTTCGCACGGTGATCCAAGATGCTCCTCGATGGCCCTCGCAGAGAAAAGGCGCACGCGTCCGGGAGATGCCAGGCCGGGTGGCCCGTTGGCGGTGGTGCTGCTGCTCCCTCGTTGGGCTGGCCAACCTGCCGCGGCGCTGGCGGCCTGCGACCCGACCGGCGAGAGGTGCGTGAAGCCGATCGGCACACAGCCTGGCAGGGGGGGGGGCGGGCGGCCGGCGGGGCGGTGCAGCGCGGGGAGGGATCGGAAGGCTTTGGACGCCCGAAAGGGGTACCGAAAAAATGGGTACAGTGCCCAACAGCAAATGTTGTCCCAAACCAACCGCGGCCGCTGTTGGGCAGGCGGCCCTCTTGTCTCAAAGGGACACAGGCCGCAGCGGCGTGGACAGCGAATCCGGTCCAAATTGCACAGGAACTGCTGTTGGGCATTGTGCCCATTCTTTCAATACCCATTTCGGGCGTCCTAAGGCGGAGGGTCCACGGCGGGTTCCCAGATCTCAGCCGATGCGATGCTTCTAGATCCAGGCGCGGTTCCCAGACCTCGGCCTCTGGGGCCCGTGGATCAGTGGCATCAGGCCATGGGGCTCTCAAGAGCGAGTCCTGGACGACAGACAGTGCCTCCAGAGAAGGGGTCGAGAAACCTGGGTCCGACGCTTGAGAAAGCTACGGCAGGTTCGTGTCGTGCCGACCCCAGCGTTGGTTTTTGATTCCGCAGGGATCGTTCAACCTTGAACGATCGGCCGCTGCCGCAACGTCCGATCGTTCAACATCGATCGATTCTGGGTCGCCGGCGGCGTTCAACCTTGAACGCCCGCGCTGGGGTCGCCGCTGGTCGACACGACGCAAACCTACCGTAGGTCGGCCAACTTCGCCCATCGCGCCCAGCGCCGAGCGACGCGTCAGCATCTTCGCGCCCATCGCACCCCCGCGCCGTCCCCGTGGAGGACGTCGGCCGCGCTGGCCCAGACCGCGGCGCACGAATCGCGATGCTAATACTCGCGCCCCCGCGGGTGCCCTAAGAAAAAACAGATCGTCGGATGTCTGGGCGTCGCCCGCCACTGGTATCAGACCATGGGAAGGAGAGGAAGAGGAGGAGGAGGAAGAGGAGGAGCCGTCAAGACAGTCCTGGACGACAGAACTCTGGGGAGGTGTCGAGACATCTGGGGCCGAGGATTGCAAACATGTCTCGTCGGATACAGTGGGGGCCCGACCACAAGAAACCTTCCCCAAGAAGCCCAACCCTGAGATGCCAGGACGTCCATTGATTCTTGCGCTTCCCTTAGCCAAACAATCGAAACCCAAGAAACCCAGGCAACCTTTGAGGCAAGCAGGGTGTTTCATGGCATGGGCTTCCACTGTACCTAGGTCCTCCTCCTTATCCTCCTCCTCCTGCCCCTCCTCCTCCTCCTCCTCCTCCTCCTCCTCCTCCTCCTCGTCCTCATCCTCATCCTCATCCTCATCCTCATCCTCATCCTCATCCTCATCCTCATCCTCATCCTCATCCTCATCCTCATCCTCATCCTCATCCTCATCCTCTCCCTCCTCTCCTCTCCTCTCCTCCTCCTCTCCTCATCATCATCATCATCATCATCATCATCATCATCATCATCATCATCATCATCATCATCATCATCATCATCATCATCATCTTCCTCTCCCTCCTCCTCCTCCTCCTTCTCCTCCTCTTCCTCCTCGTCTTCCTCCTCGTCATCCTCCTCCTCCTCGTCGTGACGACGCCGGTGGACGGCGCGTACCAACGGGGGGGCCGGCACGAGGAGGGCGGCCTCCTAAGGAGGCGTGGGGCTGCCGAGAGGGGCCGCGGGGGCCGCCGAGAGGGCCCCGCAGAAGCCGGGGGGGGGGGGGGGGCTCTGAGCAGGCCGCCCGCCGTGGAGGGCTCCTGGAAGAACACTTCCCAGAGCGCTCCCGAGGAGCCGGGAGGCCTTCCGAGATGCCGCCCCCCACCCTTATCGGGCCGGGCGAAAGGGGGGGAGAGCAAAGGGGGGGTTTGAGAATCAGCTCACGTAGCTGATTTTCCCGGCGCCTCCCAGCGCTGGAGGCGGCTATGTATCGAGGAATGGGCCCCTCGGTGAGGCCGGAACCAGCTGCATGCAGCAAATTTCGTAACCCCCCCTTTCCCAATCCCCCCCTTTCGTACGACCCGACCTTAGGGGGCTCCCAAGAGGGCTCCGCAGAAGCCGGGGGGCCTCTGAGTGAGGAGGCCGCCCGCCGCGGAGGGCTCCCAGAAGAGCACTTCCCCCGGGCGACGCGGCCGCTCGGACCGACGCCCCCCCGGGCGAGGAGTCGGTCCGTCCTGGGACCCGCCCCGGGCGATGCAGGGCCTGCCTGCGAGAAGAGCCCCCACCTGAGCGTTCGCTTTCGGGGGGACTGTGGCGGGAGCGATCCACGCAGGGGCGGCGCTCCTGAGGAGCCCCCCGAGAAGCTGTTGAGAGATATCCCGGGGAGAGCAATGGGGCCCTCAACATCCCTCTCGCAATCTATGGCCTCCCGAGAGCCAGGGAGGAGGAGGAGGAGGAGAAGGAGGAGCGCCTATTCGGAGGCCTTCCGAGATGCCGCCCCCCACCCTTAGGGGGCGCCCAAGAGGGCTCCCCCCAAGCTGGGAGGTCTTCCAAGAGGCCACCAGCCTGCTCAGAGGCCCCCCGCCGTCTTGGGCCGCTTCCCTGGCGCCACCCCCTCGTGCGCCAGTGCGGTCGGACCTGCGATGTCCAGTGGAAAATCATCGGATCCCCCAAATCATACCCGGACAACACAGCCCGGACAACCCTTCGAAATGCATGCCATGAGCGTCCCAGCATGTGATTGTGGCTGGCGCTCGAGCGGCAGCACAATGCGTACCCACTTAGGGATGTGGCCGGCGCTGAGGCGAGAGCACTACGCCTGATGATGAGGCATGCGGCCAGCGCGAAGGCGACAGCACCAATCCAAGACGGAGATGTAGCGAGAGCTCGGGCGAGCGAGCCATTCCCAATCACAGATGTTGCTGGCACTCGGGCGGCAACACCATACGTACCAAATGAAGGCGTGCGTAATGAAAGATGTGGCCGGCGTTGAGGCGAGAGTACCGTCCCGGCATTCCTATAGCCCTACCACGGAATGCTCTCCGAACCCAACATTGTTCTAAGGACAAATGCAATGCAATGAATGCAATGCAATGTTCTTAGAACTTAAAGCCGATTAAAACAAGACCGTCTCAGCCAGAAATGTTCTCATAGCATGTCGCGCAGACCAGAACGGGTCCTTAGAACATTATTTGGTGGGCTTGAGGCGAGCCAGGACGCCACGCCACTGCTTGAACATCCTTGAAAAATATGAGACCCTCCGCGGGCCAACACACACACAGAACGTCCACCGGTACCTTCTACAGGATGCTCAAGAGCACCCCACAAGCACGAAAAGCACTCGGATATCCTCTCCGAGACGACCTCGCTCTTATGACTCGGTCCGACTGCACGTCGGCGTTGGTTTCTGACAGCGAGTGCGTCGTTCCGTAGTGGACGATCGCGGCTCTCCGATGGCGAGTAGATCGTTCGCTGTCTGTCGAACGCCCGCGCTGGCGTCGCCGCCGCGTCGACGTGGCGCGGCCCACTGCACCGTACGGCTCGCCATCGCTCGGACGTACATTCCCTGTGCTGTTTTCGGTTTCGTCCTTTTTTTTCGCGAAATGATCGAGGATGCTCCTCGCCGAGGAGGGAGGAGGAGGAGGGAGGAGGAGGAGGAGGAGGGAGGAGCGATGCCAAGAATGCACACGCCCGAGCGATGCCAAAAGACAGCAGGGGGTGCTGGAGGTGGCCCCCGCGGCCCGCAGGTCCCCGAGGCGGCCCTGCCTTTCTCCGGGGAGGCCCAGAGATGGCCTCCACGGCGCGACCGGGGCCGATCCTCCCCCTCGACCTCCTCCTCCTCCTCCTCCTCCTCCTCCTCCTCCTCCGCCTCCTCCTCCTCCTCCTCCTCCTCCTCCCCTCCTCCCTCCTCGTCCTCCGCCTCTCCCTCCTCCTCCTCCTCCTCCTCCTCCTCCTCCCCCTCCACTCGGGGGCCCACTGGTTGCGGTCGGCCCGATGTGGCTGGGACGGTCGCGAGGTCTGGGCAGGATGCTCACGCGTGGCCCCTCCCCTCTCCGAATCTGCACCTGGACTGGACCCGACCTGCAGTCCGCGCGGACTACCGAGGTCCTCGAGGGGAATGAAGGCGTGGAGGGGCAGACCAAAAGGGCCCGAAGCAAAACAGATACAACTTTAAACACAGAACGCCAGGAGACGCCCAGAAACGTGCCCAAACCTCCCCCCACCCCTTCCCCCTCCCACATTCCCCCTCCTCCTCCTCCTCCTCCTCCTTCTGTTCCTCCCCCCTCTACCATGAAGGGAATCGGGTCCTGAGAGAGGCCCTTGGACTATAGATCGTTCCCTTGCGGTCCCGACTTTGCACCCTGCGCCACTGCTGGACAGTCCCACAGTCCCAGGAAGGCTCCAGGAGCCCGGAACACGGCCAAAAGCAGCAGGACCCGTCTCCCTCCGGACCCGCCGGCTTCGCGGCGATCTCCCTCCCCAGGACTCGGAGTAGGACTCCAGAATGGCTTCACCCCAAAATTGAGGTGCTCGTCGAATCTGCGGCAAAGGTGCGTCGGATGCCCCGTATATCTACGCGCATCCTACGTGTGCTCCGCAACCTCGGCGAGAGAAAACCATCTTTGGGGTAATATATCAAGTCTGTAGCCGATCCCCTACTCTCGGCGGCGACGATAGGGGCGAAGGGCCCAGGGGCGGGCACTGCACGTGTGCGCCCGGGAGCCTTTTCGCAGACACAGATCATCGGCGCACCTGAACACATGTATTGCTCTCCCCTGGGCTGTTCGCCCATATCGTCGCCTCTGCTCGAAAGACTGAGACGCAGGCCCGGCGGGGGGGGGCGGTCTGGCCGAGGACGTGCACGAAGCGCAGGAGCAACACCCCCGCAGCGCCTGGGCAAGCGCGGGGGCCCGGCCCGCCGGCAGCACTGCCGCCGTCGTCGCCGACGCCGTCGCTCTTTCCTCCCGAGTCCCTCTGTTGCCTGTCCTGGGGCCTGGTACAGCGGGGGCGCGCATCAAGAAACCATCTGCTTTTCGTCAGGGTATCCTGGGTTTGTTCGTTGCTCGCGCTGCGAGGTGACTTCCCGCAGCCGTGGAAGGAGCTGCTGCGTTCAGGGTGCTCCAGGTTTCCCCTCAGGTGCACCTCGCGCACGGGTCCTCTGTGTTGGGTTTCTTGCGAGGGCTTCTTGCGGCCGAGCCCGCACTGGAAGTTCGGTGTCAACTCATGGGGGCCTGACATCATACAATCTTGTCGGCTCTTGCGAGTCGGCGCGAGCCGACGCTAATCGGCGCTAGATCGACGCTGGTCGACGCTAACCGACGCTCAATCGGCGCTATCTCGTCGCCTCCCAGACGCTGATCGATGCTAAAGACGGAATTGAGAAGGTACACCAGGCTCCCATCATTTGCAACCGAATGATTAGGGCCCCTGGAGGCGGAAAATTGGCAAAGCGGCGCGTCGCAATTTTCTTGTTTGTTTTTGCTGTTTTTTTTGTTCGGTTCGCAGCGCGAGATGTCGAGAAACACGCCGAGGTTGATTCCCGAAAGACGATTCGTGGCCCAAAAACAGCGGCAATAATCTTGCGGGGATGGTTATGCCGAGAATTCCCCAGAAAAGAACAAATCCGCCGACCCTGTGTCGGCGTGTGCAAAAGGCTTTTCGGTTTTTCTCTGTTCTCGCTGAGGCTGCCCTGTCTGCCTCCTGTTCGTCGTCGTCGTCGCTCACCCCTCTTTCCCAGGCCTGATCGCAGGGACGCCCCTGCCCTTTCATCCTTTTCCCGCCGGGGGGGGGTCCCATGGAAGTCCGTGGGAAGTCCCGGGTCAGATACGACGCCTCTCCCAAGAACCCTGCGGCTCCACAAAATTCCAGAAAGACGTCGAAGGACGCCCCTTCATTCAGTCCCTTTCATCTCTCCCCGCCGGGGGGGGGGGGGATCCTGGGGACGTCCAGGGCAGTCCCGGGTCAGATACGACGCCTCTCCCGGGAATCCCGCGGCTCCACAAAATTCCAAACAAACGTTGAGGGAAACCCCTTCCCTTTCATCCCTTCCACGCCGGGGGGTGGGAGGTCCCGGGGAAATCCCGGGTCAGATACGACGCCTCTCCTTGGAATCCCGCGGCTCTACAAAATTCCAGAAAGACGTTGAAGGAAACGCCTTCGCTTTCATCCCTTCCCCGCCGGAGGGGGGGGGGAGGGTCCCGGGAAAAACCCGGGGAAGATAGAGGGAAGCCTGCAAGATGCCCCAGGAGGGCTCCAAGACGACCCCGAAAGGTCCTAATAGGCAATCGGCGTCGTCGTCAACATCGTCGACATCCTCGCAATTGTTTCCTCCTCCTCATCATGATCGCCACACTCTACTCGCCCCCGCCCTTCCTTCGTGCCACCTCCCCCCCTGTTCCACTACATGCGACCTTGCCCGCCTCACTCGCCTCCTATTCATTTCCCCCCCCTCTGTGCTCCTGCTCCTCCTTATCCTCCTCTTCCTCCTGTCCCCCCCTCCTCATCTTCCTCCCCGTGCTCCGCACCCTCCTCCCCGACCTCAGGGTCGGCGGCACCCGCCGGAAGGCCTTCGCAGTCTCCAGGCGCGGGCGACGAGGGCGCACCGCCAAAGATCCAGGCCCCAAGACGCTTCGATCATGAGGGGGCCACATGCGAACCCTACCCCTACCCCCACGATTTCTGCGGGGGAGGGTGGGGTTCACTTCGCTCGAGGTTCACTTCGCTCGAGAGCTCCCGAGCGAAGCGAACCCCACCCCCACCCTCAGAAATCGTGAGGGGTAGGGGTAGTGACTACCTACCAGACCACCCCAACCCAACCCGAAGACCCCAATTTCGGGTTGGGGGGGGTACGGGATCCATATGTGTTTTTCAATGTTCCCCGACCCCCCCCAACTGGAAATGGAAGGCAAATTGAGGGCTTCGGGTTGGGTTGGGGTGGTTTGGTGGGGGGTAGGGGCAGGGCTCGCACGTGGCCCCCTGGTCCTGGGCCCTCGAGCCTCCCTGCCCGTGGGTGTCGAGGCGGGGGCACCGGGTGTACACCTCACGCCACCGTGACTCCCAGGATTGGCGGCGCGCACGAGGGGCTGGCGCGCAGGGGGCGGCCTTCTACAGGGCAGTTTTGAAAACATTATTTTTATTCTTAGTTTTATATATATATATATAACGACAACATACTATGCTTTTTTGTTAAAGAAAACAACAAGTCATGAGTACATGTTGGATAAATCTATGCGTGAACTCCTCGTTGTTTCTAATACTACATCCCTGTATTTTTAGTACATGATCCGCACGCGGAGCATGTATAAAAAACGGCACTGTAGGAGGGCGGGGCGTTTCTGAGGGGCTGCGCCCCGGCCCGGCTCTCGAGGCGGACCTGGCCGCGGCGACGACCGGGCCCCAGGAACGGTCCGGAGGCCCAGGCAGAAGCACGGTCTTCGAACCTACGCCCTCGAGTGTGAGCAGGGACCGACCGTCCCGGCATTCCTATCAGGGGGACGTAAGACCCGGGTACAGGGGACTCGGAAATCCCCGACGAGGTCGTCAACAAAAATGACGAGGCCGAGCCTGCATTTTGACGAGGCCTCCCGCTGCAGACATCCCACGAAACTCCTCCTCGTCAAAATGCGAGGCGCGGTCGTCAAAAAACGATGGCGAACCCGAGTCCTGGCAAACCCGGGTCTTACGCTCCCCCGATCCTATAGTCCTACCACGAACTGTTCCTAGAACCCCAAGGATGTCCTAAGAGCAACAGCCGTTCTTAGAACAGTAAGCCGATGTGCTAGAACAAGGCAGACTCCGCCAGAACTGTTCTCAGAACCTTTCGTGGAAACCACAAGAAGGTTCTCAGGACATTATTTGGTAAGGCTATAGGCGAGCCAGGACGCTTCGCCACTGCTTGACGAGTCCCCCTCGCATATATCGAAGTGCACGCGATGTCCTGGGAGGCGTCAGGGGCAGCGCAGGAGGCCATGCCAGGGGGGAGTCCCCTGCCGACCCAAGAGATCCCCACGGACCCCCGGAAGACCCTTCATCAGTGCTTGCGCTGACAAGGTCTTGGCAAATGCAGAATGGATTGACGAGAAACGTCAAACCCGTTGTCCCAGTTTCGGGGTTCCCGGCACGGTAGTGTTTCTGGCTTCTCAGGTTCCTGGTTGTCGCCAGGTCCCTGGGTCCTCGCGACAACGGTCATAATGAGAGTGTTATCGTAGAGGATACACAGGACATATCACAGAGCAGAGAGCAGAGCGAGGCAAAGTTGGCAGTGAATAGAGGGAATACACAATCATATCGAGAAGAGAAACGATATAGAGTGAGCGGAGTGAAAGCATAATCCACCGACCCCCGCTTGCCGGGGGTGAAAGGGCGTGTGAGACGTTTGGCTGTCCCCCTCCCCCTGTCCCACTCCCCATGGAGTCCAAAATGCCGTTTTGAGGGCGGGGAAGGAAGTGGGGGACGAGCCCGCCACCGCCCCCCCAGGTGCCTCCGGAGCCTCCAAAAAGCTTCAAGAGGGCCCAGGCAGAGTGCCAAGGCACTCGACGAGAGCGCCGAGACGGCCCAGAATAGCCCCACGACGACCCAAGATGACTTCAAGACGCTCCATAATGCCCCGAAGACGGCCCAAAAGTGTTCCCAGAAGACCGCCGAGACGGCCCCAAGAGACAGACTTCGCCCCATTCCCCTCGGAAAACTTAGATCGCTAGCACACTCGCCTTTTTCGTATTGGCAGCATCTAATAATACTGCCAACGGGATCGCCAAGATCGTCTCAAGACGGCCGATGAGGCCCCCAAGAGGGCCCCGAGACGGCCCAAGGGGACCCTTCGACGGCCCCAGGCGGCCAGCACGGACAACGAGAGCCCCAAGAGGCCCCCAGGAAAGCCGAAGAGGGATATCTCAAGCCTTTCCCTCAAAAACGATCCCAGGAGCCCCCCAGAAGCCCCGAGGCGACCCCAAGAGGTCCCAGTAGACCTCCAAGACGTCCCCAAGAAGCCCCCCAGAGGCCCCCAAGAGGACCCCAAAAGCCTCCCAGATGCACCCAAGATCCCTCCAAGAGGCCCCTGAGAGGCATCCCAAGAGACCCTCATATTTATCGGAGCGGCGCCTGACCCAGCCCAAGCACGGCTCCTGACCCAGCCCGCTAGCCCCCTCCTCCAGACCCCCCCTCCATATAACGGCTTCGACCCCTGCGAAGCGTCTCTCGCTCGTACCTCGCTCTTTCCGTCATCCGCCGCCCCCTGTTGATTCAGCACAGGGGTGCCCGGCGTGCTGAATCCTTTCGCTTTTGGTTTTGTTTTTTTCCAGAAGAACTCCCCCTGGGGCTCTGGCCCAGCCCGCTGGGGTCCTGGAATGGCCCGGAAAGGCCCGTTCCAAAAGGTTTCCTGCTCTAGATGGCTCCCAAATGGCTCCCAAGATGGCCAAGATGGCCTCCAAGTTCGCCCAAGATGCCTCCAAGTCCGCCCAAGAAACCTCCAAGACGGCCCAAGAGGTGCCCAAGAGGCCTCCAAGACGGCCCAAGAGGCCTCCAAGAGGTCCTCCAGGAGGGCCCGAAGAGGCTAAAATCACTGACTTTCCATAGGTTTTTGAAGGTTTTGCGTATTTGCTCCTTTTCGGCCTTTCGACCACACAAGACAGCCCAAGAGGCCCCCAAGATCGCCCCTAGAGCGTCTAAGAGGCCTCCAGGATGGCCTCAGGATGGCCCAAGAGGCCCCCGAGAGGGCACAAAGACGACCCAAGAGCCCTCCAAGACCCTCAAGATGGCCTCTAAGACGGCCCTGGAGCACCCCAAAAGGGCCCGAATCGGGGAGACGTAAGACCCGGGTACGGGGGACTCGGAAATCCCCGATGAGGTCGTCAAAAAAATGACGAGGCCGAGCCTGCATTTTGACGAGGCCTCCCGCTGCAGACGTCCCACGAAACTCCTCCTCGTCAAAACCCGAGGCGCGGTCGTCAAAAAACGATGGCGAACCCGAGTCCCGGCAAACCCGGGTCTTACGCTCCCCCGATAAGACGGCCCTGGAGCACCCCAAAAGGGCCCGAAGTCGGTCCAGAGAGGCTCCCAAGACGGCCAAAGAGGCCCCCGAGAAGCCCCCCAAAGGTGCAAGAGGCTCCCAGGAGGCTCCCGGGAGGCCCGAAGAGCGTCCCCAGAGGCTCCCAAGATGCTCCCTCCTCCTCCTCCTCCTCCTCCTCCTCCTCCTCCTCCTCCTCCTCCTCCTCCTCCCCCGAATCATCCTCCTCCTCCCCCGCCTCCTCCTCCCCCGCCTCCTCCTCTTCCTCCTCCTCCACCTCCTCCTCCGCCTCCTCTTTATCTTCCCCGCCATCCTCCCCCGAGTGTTCCCTGAAGGGTTTCCACAACGGTTGGGAGAACACACGGCCCGATACCTTGGCAGAGCTTTTGCCACAACGCTCGGCCACATGGGCGATTCTAACGGCGGGGGGCGGCGGTGACTCGCCGTAGGCGTCCTAGATCCACCGCCCCCTGTGGTTTACAGGGGTGCCTGGCGTGCTAGACGCTACTGGTTTTGCTGGTTCTTTTCGCAAGAAGAACTCTACCCTGGGCCTCCGGTCCGTGCCGCAGGCCTCCCGAAAAATGTGGTTCCTGTGCCTCTCCGACGGCCGTCTCGCTGGGGATACATCCTCAACAAATCGCGATCTTGGGGTCCAGATGATCCCAGATGGCCTCCAAGACGGCCAAGATGGCCTCCAAGTTCGCCCAAGATGGTGCAAGATGGCCTCGAAGACGGCCCATTTCACTCCAAGATGCCTCCAAGTTCGCCCCAGAAGCCTGCAAGACGGCCTCACGATCACGGCAGACGGCCCAAGAGGCCCCCAAGAGGCTTCCAAGACGGCTCAAGAAGCCTCCAAGAGGTCCTCCAGGAAGGCCCAAAGAGGCCAACAGCATTGATCTTCTGTAGGCTTTTGTCAAGGGTTTCCCCAAGATCGCCCAAGAGGCTTCTAAGATGGCCCCAGAACGGCCCCAGAGGCTCCCAAGACGGCCCCAAGAGGGCCCGAAGACGGCCTGAGAGGCCTCCACAACGCCCAAGATGGCCTCCAAGGGAGCCCTCCAAGAAGGCCCCAAGTCGGCCCGTAGAGGCCCCCAAGACGGCTTCCGACGAACCAGGACGCCATCAAGATGGTCCCAGATGGCTCGAAGATGGCCCACGACTGCCCAAGAGGCCCCAAGTGGTCTACTAGACAGCCCAAGAGGCCTTCAAGAGGGCCTCCAGGAAGGTCCAAAGAGGCCAACATGATTGATTTTCCTTCGGTTTTTGAATGATTTTGGCATTTGCTTGTTTTCGGCCTGCCGGCGGTCCCAGACGGCCAAAACGCCCCCCAATATCGCCCCACGATCGCCCAAGAGGCCTCCAGGAGGTCTCCAAAACGGCCCCAGAAGCCTCCAAGAGGACATCCAGGCAAGCGCGAAGATGCCAAAATCATTGATTTCCGGTTGGTTTTCGAAAGATGTTGGCAATTGCTTCTTGTCGGCCTTCCGACAGCCCGAGACGGCCCAAGAGCCCCCCAAGATCGCCCAAGAGGCCTCCAAGACGCCCAAGTTGGCATCCAAGACAGCGCTGGAGCACCCCAAGAGGGCCCCAAGTCGGCCCAGAGAGGCCCCCAAGACGGCTTCCGACGGGCCAGGTATCCGAGGACGGCCAAAGAGGCCCCCGAGAAGCCCCCAAAGGCCCCCTAGAGGCCCACGAAGGCCCCCAAGATGCATCCAAGAGGCTCCCAGGAATCCCAGGAGGCCCCTATGAGTACCCACAGAGGCTGCAAAGATGCCCCCTCTCCTCCTTCTCTTCCTCCTCCTCTTCCTCCTCCTCCTCCTCCCCCTCCTCTTCCTCCTCCTCCTCCTCCTCCTCCTCCTCCTCCTGATCTTCCCGGCCATCCTCCCCCAAGTGTTCCCCGAAGGGTTTCCACAACGGTTGGGGGAACACATGGTCCGATAGCTTGACAGAGCTCTTGCCACAACGCTCGGCCACGTGGGCGATTCTAGAAGGCGGGGGGCGGCGGTGATTCGCCGTAGGCGTCTTCGATCCGCCGCCTCCTGTTGGCTTGCCACAGGGGTGCCCGGCATGCTGTACTTCTTCCTTGTTACGGTTGGGTCCTGGTTCTTTTTCTAGAAGAACTCACCCCTGGGGCTTCGGCCCGTCCTGCCGGCCATCCTGAAGGGACTGGACACGAGCACAACGTGCACAAACAAATCTCCAAGACGGCTCAATATGGCCTTCCCAAGATAGCCCAAGAAGGTCCAAGATAGCCTCCAAGACGTCCCAAGAGGGTCAAAGACACCTCCGAACCCGCCCAAGAAACCACGCGGGCCATGGCGAAGGGCACGGCAGGCGTGGCACTTTCTCGACACCAGAGGTGGTGCGCAGGGCGTGATCCCTGAGCGCGGCATCCACGTGGGCCTTTGCGCAGGGCATGGCCGGCGTTGCGAGGAGCAGGAGGAGGAGGAGGAGGAGGCAAGTTCTCCACAGCAGGGCTGTAAACTCTTTGACCCGAGCTGAACGCGCAAAACGTTGTGGCTTCCGCGCCGCGCCGACGGGGTCTCTGCGCTGGCGCGGCGGAGATTCCCTTTCCACGGGATGCAGCCCAAATGTGCCATCTCTGACCGCCTCCGCGCTTGCAGCTGAGGACTTCATGGTGCGTGTTATAAGTCACAAATAGGGCATAGGTGAAAACATGCTAGGCAAGCACAGGAGACTTAAACTGAGGATGTGGGGCTCTCGGTAGCAGATTTTGTCCTCCTTGGCCTTCTCTGGACACCTCGTCGCAACGGCTGGATCCGCCTCGAGACTCCGGCCAATGCGCACTCCAGTTCCGAGAGAACTGGATCCCCTCCAGTCTCGGGAAACGTCAACTGATCCCTGCCACCGAGCCTGGTTGGGCCCATCTGGGACGGAGGATCGATCGATGAGGCAGTCAGGAGACAACCCCGTCTCTGTAAGAAGGGAACATTGCGTAAACATAAACTTTTGGCGCTCCGCGCGGATTTCTTGGATCTGCGCTGGACCCCCCTCCCTGGCGCCGCTGGGGGGGCCCCAGAGCGGATCCAAGAAACCCGCGCGGAGCGCCAACAATTTATATCACGGCGCTTTTTCTTCTTCGAGTGAGGCGGTCAGGCGACAAACCCGTCTCGAAGAAGTCACGACGGGATGCCTTACGGTAACTTCGTGCGGCGTCGGCGCGCGCAAAGGTTTTTGACACCGCGTCGATCGTTCCTTGAATCGATCGCGGCCCCGATCGTTCAAGGTTGAATTCCGTCGGGCCCAGTGTTAAGTCGGGCATGTCCTCCTACAGGAGGATTTTGGACGAAAAAAAACAATTGTCAAAACATACCCCACAAGTTGCAAAACATACTAAAAAAATCGTCCCCAGACTATTTTTTTACTGTTCTTAAAGAGTCCCCCTGTAGAGGGACAGGCCCGACCTAAGCCCAGTGGCGTCATCATGTCCTTCGGTGCTTCCGCGCCGCAGAATCCAACTCTGAACGCCCTCGCCCGCGTCACGGCAGGCGCGCCAACGCCGCGCGAACCTGCCGTACAGTCGGGGCGTTGACCTAAGGAACCCTAAATAAGGAACGAGGCCCCTTTTTCCCACAAGTTAAACTTCGATTTCCGATCGAAAACAGAAGGAACACCTGAGGCAAGCTGTGAAATACTTAAGGAACGCGGAGCCCCTCCCCAACGAAAAGGGTTCCTTCTTCAGGGCCCCGACTGTACAGGGGGATCTCGGGGGAAAAATTCAAAACATAGGCAAGAAATATTGAAAAATGCCAAAAAAATAGTCGACAAATCGTCCCCACACTATTTCTGACAATTTTCGAATATTCCTTCTGTGCAGGGACAGGCCCGACTTAACCCTCTGCATACAATCCACCCAACAGCGACCCAGCGTAGTGGGGGCGTGCAGCACGATGTCGGGGGGCGCAAATCATTGCCAGCGGCATGTGTGCGGCCCAGGGGAGGGAGCTGGGGACGTGTCGATTGAAACAAAGAGGCGCCATGAAATCTGGGCAGATATCCTGGCCCCCGCCATGATATCCACCTCCGCATATCAGCGGTGGACAAACCTCCCTTTAGTAGACCTCCCCTTAACGAAACCAGCCTGGGACCGAAACCGACGGAC